CAAAGTAAAATTCTGCCATATATATTGAAGAACTGAAGAGAATTCACACTTATTGAAGAGAATTCACTCTTTCATTTGTTCTATTTGGAAAATTAATTCAAAAAAAAATTCCAAAAGTTCCATCAATAATAAGAAAGAAATTTTATACACAAAAATATTCTTTACCACCACAAAAATTTGCAATCAACTAAGAACTAAGATTTTGCACTTTGCAATCAACTAAGAGCCCTCAAACGCCAACTAATTTTGCAAACTAAGAAATCAACTAATTTACAATCAATTAACGAATCTCGAACGTGTGTTTTCATCTCATATTTCGAATAAATTCCAACCAATTGCACATCAACACATTTCAAAAAATCAAACTCAAAATCAAACCCAAAGCAAACTCAAATCAAAATCAAAACCTTTTGTTCTTCTTCAGTCATCGGTGGTGGATACTCGAGTTCCACCCAACGCCACGACAACACCTTCTCAGGTCTGTTCTTCGGTTCAGGACACAAACATCTCGGGCATGACCACTCGCCTTCGGGTACTTCTGTTAGCGGTGGATTCAAACAGTACGCGTGATACGAACTTGGACACGTATCGCAACACAACAACCACCCAACATCCTTCAATATCACTCATTATTTCAATCGATCATACCACTCACCCTCAATACTCCTCAATTTCTACGAATACACTTGATCTGAATTTAACCAATTAAAAAATTGGTGAATTATGAACTAAGAATTTATGAACCAATTTCTATAAAGCATTTCTCAGTGAATTATCTCAATGCGCTATAAATACCTCACTTTCATTCTGTACATCTGACAGGAATGATACAAACGAAGGATGAATTTAGATATAGATATTTGTGATACCATTAATGGTTCATCAGATCTAACAATCTAATTTTACTGAATTATTACTAACAAATTAATTATTACTGAATTACCAATAATTTATCTAATTATTATTACTTTTACAATTATTTTATTTATTAATTATTCTAACAATCTAATTATTTGTAAGACTAATCTGTTTACTCTTACTTGTAATGAACTATTACACTCATTCATATTATAATAATTGCTGATTAAATGAATAAATAAACGTTAAACAAATATAACTAATTCTACATAACATTACTGCAATATTCACCAAAATAATGAAACGATAACAAAAAATAAAATTGATCCAAAACAAATCAATTAAAATCGCTGATCTAACCTTACATATACGACAGTATTCCATGTTTGTTTTCACTGCTTTCTCTTCTTCATCTTCCTTTTGCGGTATTCCGGATGCCTCACACGTTGGACACGACCACCGTCCCTCGGGAGGTTCTTCGAGATCCGGGTCGATACACACCAAATGGTACGCTTTCGGGCAGGTATCGCACAGAATAATCTCACCACCTTGCTGACATACCTCACAGTAGTCCTGATGATCCGTC